TAATTTTTTAAAATAATCTCTGTAGTTTATTAATGGTTTTTAGTATTTATACCTATTATAAAATCTACTTTAAGTATGAACAATATTTTGCTTCCATTGTCATAGCAGCTTGCCAATTTCAAAGTAGGAAAATTTTGAAAAACAGCTAACAGAAAAGAATCGTCTATTGAAAACATATTGTGAAGTCACTTCAATGCTGTTTTCTGGCATCACTTGAAAAAAACGTTTCTTAACTTCTTTATACAAAGTACTCTTCCTCATGATCATAGGATCTAATTGATGTAGTGCACATTCTCACAAATCCCACTTGAAGAGATCTTTCTAAAATAGGAACACATTCAGTAAAATTTCGTTGTATATTGATTGAAGGAAACATATCTTCAGGTATACACCATTCAGGTTTTTCCTATGAAGTATTCATTCTGAGTCTGAGAATGTGCTCCTGTTCGCGAAAACATCTAGAGACACTTTTGGAATCACACACAAGAAAATACACTGAATTTGTAGACAACTGCTATTTTTGTTTAAACTGTTTCTTCGCGGGCAACCATACTCATAGAAATCAGCTTGGAACTAACAATTATACTAATGATATATTTCACTATAAACGAATTCACATTAAACTATTGAAACTTCAATATAAACAATTGGCTTTAGAAGGTTTCACAATAACAAAATATTATTTTTCAATTTCCTCCCTTCTTTGTCACAGAGTAGTAGCTATGTCTTTCTCATCAGACACGTGCGGGGTAAGTGAAATAAACTCGTTTACTAATGATATTTTGAGCAACATGAATTGAAACTAAGAATTATTGGTGAGAGTATTAAAAAAAAAAATCATCCTTTTAAGGTCTTATTAGGAGACCGCGAGTCTTGTGAGACATCGAGAGCATTGATTATTCTTTTTGTTTGGATAACACCACGTGACATCAATGTGAATTGGTAAAGTCAGCGACAAGTGTTTGATTTGCAAAAAAGAAACATTCTTAACATCAATTTTACGAAAAAAGAAATGTAAAGAACTCAGAAAAAGTAAAACCAATGACTAAAGGAAAAGCTGTCTATACCAGTCAGCAAAGAATGTTCTACAGGCCCGCACCGAACTAATCGTTTCCATTACTGATCACAACACTTATATAGAAGCTTTTCGAGTCCCAAAAGCAATTATTAATAAAGAAAAATAACTTTTACTTGTGCTATCGTTTTCATCTACAGTATTACAATATAAAACCGTTCTCTATGTCTTTATTTAAATAAAATCGTAATGGTTTGGATTAAGTACATATGGATTAATGAGATGATGCTGTACAAGTAGACCCACTGTAGTTAAAGCTAATTTTTCTTCCACAGCTGGTCCTCGATTTTGCCAATATTCACCAAATACACCATGTGAATCAGCAGGATTCAACTCAGAAACATTGAAACCCTTCTGAGCAATAGCTACAGTTAATCGATGCATATCTTGATCAGCAATTAATACAGGAATAGGACCTTCATAATTGCTTTCATTGAATTCATCAACAAAGGCTTGATAGGTATCTTGTCTTTTACCATTTCGATAGTCTACATCGAAAATAGGTAGAGCAAACACGACGGCACGTATGTTTCGATAAGTCGACCCATCTTCTTCAAGTACTTTTCGAATAGCGAACGCAGAAAGTCCTCGTACAGTTTCATCAATTCCAATCGCTTTGCCAGCAAATACACCAAGTCCAATACCTGTTTCAACTACAACTTGTACTCCTTCATAATCACATGCTCGTAGTCGAAGTCTTGCCATACGCATTAAATCTTTTTGAAGGAGATTTGTGTCTAATTTTCCTCGTGGACCATTAGTTCTTCGACGAAAATCTCTTTTATTATAAACTAATAGCGCACCTGATTTTAGATTAGTTTCATAAACATCTTGCCAGTTTGTGACATAAGTAAGAATATCATTTTCATCATGTATTCGTCCAGCAAAATCAATACCAGTTACTGAAACTAATTTAATTCGGTGTGACCATTCTTCTTGCGATGCACGAGGTATTAAGCGAGCATCGAATTCCATCATGATAGGACATTGTGAAATACGAACAACAAATTTCATATGAAATGCTTCCTCTCCGTGTGCACTCTGTCCTTGTAATGCTCGTAGAAGAAATTCTTTGTTCATACCATCAATACTTTTATCAGCATAAACTTTATATGATTGTTGCCAATCGATGATTTCTTGCACGGTCATTGCAAAGCGCTCAGTAGAAATATTGCTTGGAAACTGTATTATCATCTTTGGATCCATTGAATTTAGCGGTTTGCGTAATCGAAATGCTTTGACACCTTGTACGATATATTGTCCAGGAAGATTTTGAAAACCGAACGTATGCGAAAGAAATTTTTCCATTTGTGTCGTTTCAAAGTCGCAGTTGCCACTCATTGATCCATTTTTGTCCATCGGAGGAAGAGACATAAGATGTTCGAATAGCTGTGTTATGTTCGGATGACTGGAATGATTAAGAGCAAACGAGATCACGGGATATGAGCGTATTTGTGATGATGAGTCTACAGTCATGTGGGAGGATAATCTTGACTTGGTTGTCGGAAAATCATTGGTTGCTGATGAAGCGCTAAATTCAGTACTTCCTTTCGGTCCTTCTTCGGCAGAACTATTTGACTTGTTGGACAAATCAACAACAATTTCTGTTAAACCCATAGTGTTTCTTTGGATTTTGATCAGATGAAGCGATGGCGAGTAAGCTAAAATTAATATGATTGCGTTTAGTTGATTTTATTTCTTATCACAGGCTTAAATAGGTTTCTGAATCGTTCAATATCAGATTGTGTGCAGTGATTAGGTTTTAATTTCGAGTGAAGTTTATTTGAGAGTTTGTTTACTGAAAACGTCAGCGGTTTATTCTATTCTTCTGTGAGTTTTTATTACCTGTTAAGTCAATATTTGAAAGAGTTTTTTTTGTGATCAATCAACTTTGTTCGACAACGTCTTGTCAACTTTTTGTTGGGCAAAACTTATTTTGTATAATGAAATAGCGTTTTTGATATTGTCCAGTTGAGGAGAATGTTGCTGATCAAGATAAACAAATCAATTAATGCAAATTTTAACTGACTTTGGTCACTGATATTATTTCTAGATTAAAGATACTACTCACTGCTGTTTGTGCCCATAGTCATGCAATTTATATAGTGCGTAACAAGAGCAAATGAGACGATTTTTTCTCTTTCTTCTGACGATAAAATGACTGTGTTGCTATTATTCATAGGAATGTAACGGAGGCGTAAAAAAAATACGCAGCAACTTAGCATGCGTGCATTTGCAGTCGTCATTTGTTGTTTTTCTGTCTAATGCAAGGTGATTCACGAGGAACAAACATTGCAGAGAAAAGAAATATATAAATGTAAAACGACACGTTTTGTCAATGTCAATGTTTATAATTCATCGATCTCTAGAAAATACATATGACATCGAACAGGACAATCATTAATGTTATAAGCAAATAAGTACCGAACGCCTCATCATAATTGTGGCATTTAGTATTTCGAAAATATCTCAGCACAGATACATTGCATAATCTTCATTCTCGTTTTGAAAGATTTCGCCATGAACCTCTCTACAAGATTGGTAGAGCGAAAATGCTATTGAGTTAGTTTGATTGTTTTTAGTGAGACTGAAAAAATGAAGCACTGTATGATGATGAAATGTTCCGCTATTCTGAGAGAAACAAAAATGAAAGTAAAATTAATTTGTTTTGCATACATGCCAACAAGAACAAATCAGAAAACTTTAAATTGTTTTGTTTTTACATTGTGCTGATGAATTTCTTAGATGGCAAAAAGGAAAGGCTTTCGTGATATCGTTGTTGTCCAATATAAAAACGAGAAGAAAGCTTGAAAAATTTCAAGTATGTTGACTAATAAGGTGTATTGTGCTACAGTTCATCGTTACTTACAGTGATTTAATGAAAGTGGCTCGATTGATGCACACCAATTAGGGTGTGGGTGGGTGTGGGTGTGGATGTGAGTGTGGGCCAGTGTCACGTTCTACCTGCATCCACCCCTCACCCCAACCTTCACACCCTCTTTTATTACTTGTAACAGCACTTCGCCGAGTATGATCAACTAAACGATATATTGATTTATTTTATTGACTTTCTTATAATTTCAAGGACAAGTTCGAAAATTAAAAACAAAAATAAACATATCATATTGGTTGTTTTTTTTATAGTTATTACAACTTACTCAAGCAGTTTGTTATGCGAATGTATTTTTTATTTTGATAATCAACGTTACAATCAAAATACCGAAGACTAGAATTTCACGAAATCAATCATAACTCATCGGGAGTTAAATCGCAAGTGTTCATCTCTACAGAGATTCCCTCTTCTTCTCAAAGAAAGGACATGATAATTTGTCAAAGCATTTATTCATTTCCACTATATATAATCATTTTTTTTAAATATTTTTTTTCTAATTGCTTAGACTCTGCCGAATGTATCTATCCTATTAAAAAAAGCTTAAACTGTTTGGATAACATTGAAACAAGAATTATTACAATTAATAATTCCTAGATCTCTTGTCAATAGTCCAAATACAAATTCATTTCTCAATTACATGTGGAATTCACAAGTAGGATAAGAACAAAAAATAAAAATCAAGATTCTCTTAATCTTTTTTTTAGAGCATCATGCAACAACATTAGCAGATGAGTATATTCATTCAAATGACAATGAGCAACAACAACAACATCTGGCTCATGTTCTTGAAATCGTACAAGATTTAAAAGCTTTATCCATATTACTTGCAGCAGAATCGATAACATTTATTCTTGATTTAGTTTGTTTAGCATCAAGACGTGGTTATTTAAAGTTAGATAAATGATTATTAGAGAAATTACGTGAGCATCAAGTAAGAAGAAAGAAACAAAACATTATTTTATAAAAGTGTTTTATTCTAACTACAGTTACCTTCAAAAGATGATACAAATCATAAACAAATTGCTAATGTCAAAACAATGAATATACTTTTACATGGGTGGTCTTCAATTAGCATTACCATTAATAACAAATCTAGATCTAATACAAGAAATTCAAACAATATCAACAACAACACATCCCTTTATACCATCAACAACCAATTGACTATCATTATCAGCTGAACTTTTTTTAATTACAAAGACGTTATTATATATTTTCTTTCAAATTATTGTATATACACTTGCAATCAACGGATTGTTGTCACAATGTAGAAAGAATGATATCGGATGGAGTAGAGATTACATGAGTCGTGTAAAACGTAAACTTTTATCATAGCTATATCTTAGGGTAGGATCGCCGAAAATATTTGAAGATCTCACAATAAACTATTCTGGATGAGTTCAGTCTCTATGGGAAGTTTCAATTTGAAATTTGAAATTTGAAAATGACTTTTTGTGATATCTCTGAGGAGGACCATAAGTGAAGGGAACGAACTTTTTTCTGTGTGTTCATAGTCCATTAATGTCTACATGAAGCATATGGTCTCGATTCAAAAGTGATTAATTAATTAATGAAATTTCCTCGTCAGCCATGACAACTATAATTTGTGAAGAGTTAACTGTTGATGTCTTATCACAGCTTCTAACTGTATTTGCAGCTTGTAATCGCCCTGCTCTTGCTATATTTGTAGACTTCGCCACCGCTTTCGATCGGCTATGGTGGCCCGCATTATTCAAAACACTAGAAAAGTTAGAAATGCCTTTGGAGATGAGAAGGTGGATTTTTAATTGGCTTCAAGGTCGAAAAATGAGTGTAAGTCATGGAAATGCCAAATCCAGATTATTTTCTATTTTAGTAGGCGCTCCTCAAGGAAGCGTGTTAGCTGCGCTGTTATTTAGACTTCATATACATTATTTACCCTCTTATTTTTTACAAACAGTCAGCCACCTTTTTGCTGATGATCTTACAATAGTTATCAAAGGCGGTTTAGAAATGAGACTTTCTACAAATATTAAATATCTTGAAACCCAAGCAAAAGCAGTTTTAAAAGAATTAGAAAAATTTTCGGACAATCATATTTTGCCGGTCAATGTGTCTAAAACAAAGGCCATGATTGTGCACAGTGCAGTCGACGTACAGAAACCAATTATTAAATACAAAGATGTAAATATTGAATACGTAACCTTTTTCAAATGTTTAGGTGTTGAAATAGGTACTAAATTAGGTATGGGTAAAAACATCGAAACGAGATTAAGGAAAGTAAGAAGTTCATATTGTGCCTTAAGGCAAATATTTCATACAATACCAAAAAATGAAATAAAAATTCGAAGACAACTATTCTGCGCGTTTACTCTTCCCCATTTCTCGTGGCTTTTCCCTACCTGGTTCTATTTTACCGGCAAACAGCGTGAAAAAATAGAACATGTCTTCATGACAGGTATTCGCCTTGTATACTCTCTATGGGGATATGAAGATTTTACAACATTAGCAATAAGTCGTGAATTCTCATTGAGAGATTACTTATATAGATATTGGCTACGTTTCCAAAAGCATTTGGATGAAGCCCCTGAAGCTATTGTATATAGACAGACTTGGAATGCTTTCTTGATTGCGACGTCGCCTAATAAAGATTACTATCGAAGTTGTGGATTTCGAAAAAACAGTGTCTTTCCGAATAGACTCATGGAACGGGCTCACCACACACATTTAGACTTCCTTACCTTTACCAATGTTCATAGTCAACAGTACGGGTTCTTCAAACGTACTTCTTCCTTACTAGAAACATTTATATTAAAATATTTTCCACTTTTTCCTCCTTAAACGTATAGGGCTTAAATCATCGTAACAAAAAAAAAAAAAAAAAAAAAAAAGCTAAACGATATAAAATATGTGACTATCTCTTGTAGTGTCGTAATACTTGTTTCTAATTTTTATTTTTTTTTTGTCCTTTGTGTGGGTTACTATCTATCCGCGATCTTTCAGACCTCTATGTAAAGATAAAAATATTGTAACTTCTATCAAATGTATTGTGATGAAAAAAGTGATAACCTCTGTAAACATGCGAATTGGACCTTTCCCATTATCATTATTTCCTTAGAAGTTTATAAAATTATGTGATTTTTTTTTTCTTTGTTAACCCTTGTGGAACAATACACTATATATTAAAAAAAAAAGCTGCTAACTGTATCAGAAAAGTCGGTTTGTAACATTGATATTGAAAAGTCAGAAAGAAGCAACAGAAAAGAATAAATAGAAAATAAGAGTAGATCAAAGTGAGAGCAGTAAAATTTTTATTGTTATTTTTCCTCTTGTTATGGTCTTTGTTAGGGTTCAAATAATTATGATTTATCAATAGTGAACAAAATGTAAAGATTCAACAGCACTACGAGAATGAGTAAGGGTCTGGAAAATATATTATTTTGTTTTACAGGAAGTTTTTCCGAAATGGATTAAGAAATTTATTTGATGAATATAAATTTTATTCTCGATGTCGTGATAGAGAAATTAATTTTAATAGCCCAACTATTTGGTGCATTTTTTGAACTTTGTTTATATTCAAAATCAAGTTTCTTATTGCAGCATTTCGAGTTATACTTGAAGGATTAAGAACCCCGTTTGAACTAGTCTTTGAAATTTCTCTGACGACACTTAATCGATGTAAAACAAGGTGAGATATTTTTTGTAAATTAAATAAGATTATTCTCTAAGAAATGTCATATATCAG